CATTCATTTGTAATATTCTGCTTTTTGTCCAACCTACTAGTCTGCGTGTCCTTTATTTATGAAAATTATAGTTCCTTTTCCTTTAGTTTTAAATTTTGGTGAAGGCCCAATTAGCAGGATAAAATGACCTGGGATTGTTTCCAAAGGATCACCATACGGTATCTCGAATCATGAATCAATTGTTGGAGTTGTTGATCTGTGGAATTTTGGGAATTTGGTATGATGTTGGTGGCACTATGGGGTCTCAGATCAGATGTTAGTGGGGTAGAATGGCCTGCTTTTGGTTTTAAGTCTCCTAGCCAAAAGGTGTTCAGTCCTTGATTTTACTTCCCCCAAAACTACAGCAGACACTTGAGGATTTTCTCTGTTCCAAATTAGCTTGACTGAGATATTACTCATTGTAGCAATGTAATACATGTGCTTATTTAGAGATTGCAGTTTCTATTTTACTGTTGCATGAATTTTTCTGTTATTGGTTTGACGTACAAAGCATTTGCCTAGTGTTCATGGCTAACAAACACTTTTACTCTTGCAGATCCCCAGAGATGCTCGATTCACAGCAAAACTGTTGTATAATGTGAGGCAAATATCCTGTTGCAGACTATGTTTTCTTCTATTTAATAGATATTCTTTTAATGTTTCGGGAAAATAAAGTAGCTTTCCTTTAACTTCTAAGTTATTTGATCCTTCAAGAAATTAGATGATCAATATTTTGAGCCTAGTCTCTTGTTAAGCATATGTATGATTATGGGAAAAGAGGTTTATGAATTATGAACAAGGTTCAGTGTGCAATTTGCTTGGTGATTCTTTAAATGACAGAAACAAATATTCCCCCCCGGCATAACTAAGAATTTCTCTGGATAAATGTATTAAATTTTAAAGAATCAATTGAATGAAAGAACATCGTGTCATTACAATATGTAAGTTGATTGCTTATTAAATTGAATTGGATTAATGAATTGGAATATGGAAATGGAGTTTGTCGTCTTCGGCTAAGCGTCCCAGGGTGCAATCCAGTGTCTCCCATTGACAAAACTTTTGACTAGAAACGGATGGGCTGCATCGAAATCCAGTTCCTTGGCCCATGACACTCCACGAACGGCTGCAGCTCCAGGACCCCAGCATTTATACACCCCGAAGAACACGGTCCTGCAAAGGGAACAAAACAAAGGCATTGCCAATTTGACTCAATTATATCAAAATTCAATCATTTCTCTTTTATGTCTGCCTATATTGGATAATCTATCATGTTGGTATCTTTGATTTCTTCTATCTTTATGTTTTGTTGACTATGGAACGTATTAGGATCATCCACTCATTACTATTGACTAATGAGAATCAGATCTTGCCCTTGTTATTTATTTGGGTCCTACAAGGGGAGGGAACGTACTTATTTTTGTTGCTGACATGGTCCCAGTCGTCCCAGCCACCATGAGCAACCAGGTCATCGAAGTAAGTGTAAGCATAGACAATCCTCGAGTATTGACCCATGGCTCGTCCCACATATAGCGGTCCAGTACCTGTAACCTTGCAACTCACAAAAGCGAAGCCTGTCTTCTCATCTGGTGAGTTTCTGTCGTGGGCCGCAATGGATCCGAATCTTGTGGCTATTGAGTGTAGTTCACAATCCTGAACAAGCAACCGAACCGTGAGTGAACATAAACACTGTACTAAAATACTAACAAGGAAAATATTTTTAAAAAATGAAAAGATAGAGAGAGAGTTCTCAAACAGATTATGCAGCTGTTTGCTCTTTGATTCGATGAAGATGGCTGAAGTAAAGAAGAGATGTTGCCATGCTTATGAAAAATGGTTTCTGCAGTGTAAGATGTTAATGCCATTGCAAAGCTGGATTGAATTATAATTGCAATGTCACGAGGAAAGAGGTCAAACCCAATATTTTAATTTAGGCTCTCAAGCATTTAAACCATCAATTTGGTGGCGAGTTAGTGTTTACTCTTTTAATTATGATTCTTTACTTAGTATTTGGCAGCCCTCTTTTGGCAAGTTGGGTACCACTACCTTCTGACAGACAAAAACGTCTGTTGATGAGAGAAAGGTCTCTTCCTTTTTCAGCTTTACGGACAAGAGAGTCAGACTTGCTATAGAATAATGCAACGTCCTTTTTCATTTATCAACTTATAAATTTTGAATATGGAAATTCTCTTCAGAAGTCACGAGCATTTACTGTACTAGTATTTGTTTTTGCATGGTAGACAGGATATATTCAAAATAAAAGTTCTTACTTTGTACATGGAGCGACCGTTTCCAAAGATGAAGTCAATTGAACCTTCGATATAACACTCCTTGAAGTAATGACGACCAGCATCATCACAAAGAGTGTCTTGTGCACCGTAGAATCCACAGCCAGAAAAGTATGCCTTGTCGCCCGATATGCGAAACGCCACTGCTTGCCATCCTTGCATTCCTGGCATGGGTGCCGGTGCTGTATTCTACAAACACACAAAGCTATTTTGAACCAAAAAAATGATACTATATGGTACTCAAATAAAAATCAATAAATACCGACAAATAAAGTCACATGCAGCATTAAGAAGAGAAATATATGGCATATTTAATGTTTTCAGAGCAATGCTAGTAGAGAGGTGATCTCTGGTACTTGCACTTTGTCCTTTCATTATTGTTAATGTGCTGGGAAATTTTGTGTTTAATGATTTGAAGTAATATGTTGTTTAGTTGTACGGTGCTAATTATATTTACCTTGAAGCTGATATTCCTAGCAGAGAAATAATTAGCATACACAGTGACAGAAGCAGTTTGATAAGTACGCAACTGTTGGCCGTTGGCCCCACGATCACATGCTCTATCATGCCACTCAATGAATGTCACGTCTCTCCCAGCGCCCTGAAACGTGATGTATGGCTTTTTCGCAGGCACCACCACCTTCTCTCTGCACCGCCACCACACCAATATCAAGTATCATCAGCATTTTGAAAGTGAAGACAGTGTTTGACGTGTGTGTTTAGATTTTTTCTAAGAATATTTCTCTTCATTTTTTAGCATAAATCGATGCTTTAAAGGCTCTTAAGATAAGGCAGAGAAATTAAATAAAGTGTATAATTACATGTAATATCCAGGGCTGATTTTGAATTAGAACGTTCTTTCTATTATTCTCCGGGACTGCATCAACGGCATCTTGGACTGACCGGAAGTGACCTGATCCATTAACGTCAACTGTAATCCTCCGGTGACCGATGGGTCCAATCCACTTATGGTGGTGCCTTGTTGAGTTGGTTGTACAAGCTGTAGCATTGACGACTGAGCTCGTTGCAACTGATATTAATGGCTGCGCAGGACAGAAGAAGGAAGTGAAAGCGAAGAAAAAACAAATGAAGGAACTAAAAACTCCATTAAATAACTCTAAGTAGTCAGAGAATAGAAATGATGAAACCAGAGAGAGACAGGGTGATACAATCATGCAAATGTAAAGAATTTTTCAATGTGGAATTTTGTATGAGGTTGGTTTACTTTCAGGAATCTTATATATATAATGCAAGAAACTAAGAGAAAGAGAGACACATTTATCATCTGAGTGAATTGAGTTGAAGAATCTGATTTTATTAACTCAATTTTCTACAAATTTGGGTGTTTGCAACGGTCATTTTTTTGTTCCCTTGCAAGGAGGGGGATTGTAGTTGTAGTTTGTAGGCTTTTATGGTAGCTCTTGGCTGCATTATACGCACCAGTCTAAATGTGGGGGCTGTATTTCTTTGGCTTTGCATTATATCTAGCTTGGATTCCAACCAACGAATATAAAATCCTAGTATATGTTTCTGATTTTTGTCATGTTCGACTTGGATTCTCACCATAGATTTTGTGTTCTATCCGACTAGATATTTATTTTAGACTGTTTACAATTTACAAACAACATGATCAAGGACTATATGATATTTGCTACCATTTTTTTTATCGAGTAATCATGTACTAATGATCAACAATACGTGTCAAAAGGATTTATCTTTGCATTTAAAGTTGGATAATGATTAAAACTAAAAATTTAATATTTTATCAACGTATTATGTGATTGTCCTGGTTCCTTGACCACTCCAGATAATTCACAGCATTATGCTTTATCTTTCCCTTTTGATCTACAAATAAATTAACAGGAAACCATCACTTTTCGGTCCAGCTTCCGGTGGTGTTGGCGTGCATGAAGAATGATGGTCCAGGCATGGCTCAATATATAGTTATTTATTTCTTTATTAACTATTTTGGCCTAGAAAATACTGGACTGGTCTTAATGGGGTCCACTTGTTTTTTTGAACGTTGGGTTGGGACTACAAAATCTTTCCCCGGATCACGGGTAGAGACAAAAATGCCCTGACTTTGGTGCATATAGGTTTTTTTTTTTTTTCCTTCAGTTTGTGACGAAATAAATAAATCACCGCTAAAAAGTAGAAACATCAAAAGTCATTGTGATGATATGATGGTGATGATTGGCTTGATTATAGGTTTTTGGGACCCACTAAACAGATGCTAGGATACCCTTTTTAACGTTCTGGTCAGGGTTGTGAGGTTATTATTGAGAGACATTGCGAGCCCCGACAGGATTTCCCTAAAATCATGGCCATGTAACTTGGGTTTGTGGATAACGTGGGAAAATCCAGTGCTTTTGCAATGTGCTTGGATTTTTGGTCTCCGATTTGATCACACTCGTTGATGATGAACATGGGTGGGTTATTGGGCTTTAGTGGGTCAAACATTGAACCCCAGTTAAAAACTAAAAACATGTCCAATAACAGCAAGATTTCCCTTTTTGGAGAAAGTGGGCTTTGGTTGGACATAACCAGTTGAAAAGATCAAGTCTTGTTTATGACTTCAAAATTTAAAAGAGCTACGCATAAGCTGAGTCGTTTTTCAAGTCTCCAAGGCCAATCCAGGAAAAAGCCTTTTTTGAAAGCTCAATTAAACAACATTGACAAGATAAAAAAAAAAGGAAATTTCGATAATCAAAATATGTATCATCCGTTTAATCATTACAAATGTTGAATGAAATTCCAATCACCTTCTGTTTTCACCAAAGTCTTCGAATTCTGTCAATATTTTTTTTTTTTTTCCCGGGCAAAAGAAAAAGAATCTTGTTAAAGTCCTTGGTCTCCTTGAATATTTATATCGCTGGTAAGTCTCAATACAACTTGTTAAAGCCAGATGGTGGTGAAGATTCACCCAATATTGGGAAAAATTGTTCTCTTTCAAGTGAGACCTGAAGCCTTGCCATGACCTTAACTATTGAACCCCAAGCAATAGGAGCATAACAAAAAGCATAGCCGAAAACAGCTAAAGCTCTTATAATTCCATTGGGGTACCAAGGATATGCCATGACCAAAAGAGACCCAAAAATCCCAATCAAAGGAACAGAAACTAGAATGACTGGCAGCAAAAATGAATTGATTGCAATAGAGGAAAGAGCAATCGAACCAAGGAAATATAATGCCCAGCCTACCAATGGATGAATTGTACGAGGAATAATGGCGAAGGGAACTATATAGGCTGCAAGAATTGACCAGATTGCTATAACCTTTAGGCCTGTTTGCATCAAAGATGTGCTTTTGTCTGAGTGACGGTAACATAGTTTGGAGATGCTGGGGCGTGCTAGACGTGTCATCATGATGATTCCGAGAAAAATAATGGATTGGATTATTACAATAGGCATCTCAGCTGCGTACCTGTATAAGAAGTTGAAAACTCACATCAATTATACAGAGTGGCTAGATATTTTTTTTATCTGTCACTGTTGTATATATTTTTTTTATCTTACCCTAGAGTTTGACGACGATTTTCATGCCATTCAATGCCTAGGGGCAGGACAGGCCAAGACCACCAATACCATGGCTTCAACCATAGTGCACCAGGGAAAGTGATCACACTGTTAGGTCCACATGTTACACTCCAACGAAGTCTAAGATCTGGGGACCAGCAAAAAAATAAAAAATATTTTGAGGTTAGATTTGTAGATGAAAACAAAGCATGGAATCATTATAGATTAGATCCTCACTATTCTACTCACAATAATAAGAGGCATCCATTTGATAGCCCATAGGAAGTCTGTATTGCCCATCTAGATTGGTGCCATTTAGGGGCGGATGGAACATTGGCTGGTCGAGCAAATCAGGGAAGTAGGCACCGATAAATCCCTGGTCTGCACCATCAGGGTTTTCTTTACCAGTTTCCAGTTGGTGAATCATGTCTTTGAATACCTCTAATGATGGCTGCAGATAAATATTTTTTAGGAAACAAAGTTGCTTTATGAAAGTAGTCGAAATGAATCATATGTAGAAGAAAATTTTACCTGCAACACAAAGAGGCCAGTATGAAAGATGCAGGGGTTGATAAAGACTGCACAAAACTGCCCACATTGGAATAATTCATCAGTTTTCTGGAGGAAAAGATTGTCAGCATCTAGCATGACCACTCTGTCATAGTCCACCAAACTCCAGGCATATAGTTTGTTCAATGTTAACTTGAATCTCTTATCAAAATTTTGTTGACCCTTGTAAGGGTTATCAATGTTCTCCACCCTCACCACCTTTGCTCCATCTTCCTGTTCCCTATACCACAAAAACAGAGCCGGTTACATCTGTTTCACCACATTTTTCACTATAATAATGAGCATTCTAAACAATGATAACATAATTTATTCTTTAAGCAGCTATTCCTCGTAGCAGCAGGCCATGGGCGTTGCAATGTAACAATAATTGCCATTTCAAAGGGGTTGTGCACCAAACAAGCTACTCTCGCATGCTATTCCTGACTAATACAATATCTAAGACCATTTCTTGTGCTTCTTGAAACTAGGCGTGGGGGACATGGTTACTAATTAGTTGAATATTGTGGATAGCTTCATAATTCAGCTGGATCCACCCGAAATAAATTCAGGAGCAGGTATTCCCACCCTATAATTAAATTATAGTGGGCTGTGTCTTATGTGGGGAACTCCGTTCTTATCGATTCCTCCCTCTTGATATTATTTGCGCTGCATTTATCCAAGCTTGAATTAGGATTTAGGAATGATTGAAAACATAAATATATATGTCATTTGTGCAGCATTTGTCCTTCGAGCCTACTGTCTTTGAGTCTTAAAGGATGAGCTTTACTTTCCAATACATAGTGTTTGTATCCGTGGTTTAACATGTGGTTGAGCAAGTAAAGTCAGCTTCATCACTAATCTAAGGAAAACAGAGAAATTTGACCTTGACCAGTAAGTGGAACGAGACCACGTGGAAAATTAAACTGGACCTAACGTGGTTGAAATTTTAAATTCTTAACTCAAAATGTTTAATAATATCAATACTGAAAGTGGTCCTGAATCCTGTGAACCACTATAACTTCGCTGGACTCCGACTGGATTTTTGCTACTTTTATTGCAAAATATTTATTTAGCAAAAAGAAAAAAAAAATGCGTTAAGAAAAAAAAGAAAAGAAAAAGAAAAAAGAAATGCAATGATGTTGTGGGGACTTACAGGGCGCGCACCCAACGGAGGGGAACGTCGAGGGAAGCAATGACGATGAGATCAGCGTCCACTTGGAGCCTAACAAGCGATCTTATCAAAACACGTGTCGCGACATAGAACTCGTAGTCCCTCGGCGTCCCCATGTACATCATCGTCGCGTAAGCGTTCCGGTGCTCCTTCTTCTTCAGCTTAACCCCATACAACCCCGTCGTTTGCACCGCCGCCACCAACACTAGCAAGACTCTCAAGAACGTAACAACTTCTTTTCGCTTCTCTCCGCTCCAAGCCATTCCTTTCTCTTCTCTTTCTTCTTCTCTGAGTTTTTAGGTTAACAAATAACAAAACAATGTAAAAACCAAAAGAAACCCCAAAAAAGTAAATATATTCAACAACTGCCTTTAACAAATTTATTTGGTTGATTTTTTTTTCCCTTGAATGGCAACTCTTTTAAGCTTTGGAAAGTATCTATATACGAAAAGCAAGTGGAAGGAAACAGGGAAGGAAAGCCCTTTAAAGGAGGGCAGGTGGGGCATTTTGAAAATTTTCGTTTTCCATTTGCTCGTTTGGCATATATCCAAGCTTTCCGGTGTAACCGAGGAGTTCGTACTGCCCAATGTTTCAGCCGCCAATATATGAGAAATTATGAAGTTGGACAATAGCATAAATAATACAACTAGATATACGAACATAATTAAAATACATTTGTAATACGTGAAATTTATTAGGAGTATAGTTTTTCAATGAATAAAAATAAAAAAAGATTTTATATATATATATAAAAATATACACATAAGTGATTTTTTGTCACATTAATTTTTTAAATCTAAAAAAAAAGTCATCTATTTTTTATTTTTTTAAATACTATCACAAAATAATTATATTTATATATTTTTTTATGTGTATATAGCATTATTCGTAAAAATAAAATATATATATTAGAAATATTGCATGATTAATTTTGAATATTTAAAAAGAAAATTCACGTAACCTTAATTTTGAATATTTTTAATGGTATTTTTTAAGATTATTATTTTGAGTATCGTGGCACTTAAAGTAAATATGAGGAGATTCGCTCGAAGTATGTTAAAAAGGAAAATTGGACAGTTTGAGGGTGGAAATTGGAAAAGAAAAATAATAAATGCGGCACGTGGAGGGATTGATGAGGGTGGGCAAAATCAAAGTGAAAAAGTCAAGAGATTGAGACCAGAATTACTCGGTCACCGCAGCATAACATTGAGAAGTAAACGACGATTGAGCTTGGCGTTTGTATTTCTAATTTCAGGGCCCTCATTCTTTGACTTCTTCGTAAAGGTTTTGGGATTGTATTTAAGAAACGCGTTAAGGAGTTATTTTCCTACCATTTTTACTTTTCTTTGCTTCCTATTGTTTCTTAAATTTATAGAAACTAAATTTAGCTTCTTGTTTTTTATCATAGAGTTGGTTGATTACTTGTTCCTCTCAATTACTCAAACTATTCCAAAGACAATGGTATAACCAAAAATTCTTAATCCTCTCGTATTGGAACTAATCATTTGGGAAAGAGAAAAAAAATAATATAACCAAAAACTCTCTGTTATTATTTATTTTAACAAAAGAAATAGTAATTTAAGATAAAATTTTTAATAAATGCTTAAATTTAAAATAAAAATTTATTAAATATCGATTCTTTAAAATAATTATATGAATTAATATAACAAAAAATTCTTTTAAAAAATTCTTTGTTAAATTTTTTAAATGTAATTTAAAAATAAAATTATTATAAATATTTAATTTTAAATTTTAAATTAATTAGATATTAATTTTAAATTTATATATATATCAATTTTATTAAATTAATACTATATATTTCAATTTAAGAAGTTGTTTCTTTCCCTGGTTATGACACGGGGCAACAGAATACGTGGACCTTTTCCATTCAAATACAAGTCAACAGAATTCTTTGACATTGTCCGCAGCTGCTCACTATTTCCTTTAAAAAAAAAAAAGGAGGCTATTGGGGAGAACAAGTATAACATAAGGAGTTTAGGATTATGATAAGACAAGGTATTATTATGATTAATATTAAATTAAATAATATTATTTTATTTTTTATTTGATATATGAAAAATTATAATATAATAAATTATTTATTGATTAAAATTATTTTTAGAAATTTTATATAATTTAAATTATTTATATAAATTTTAAGAGTTTAATAAGATATATTAATTTAATTTTATAAATTAAAAATAATTATTTTTACTTTAAAATGATTAAATTATCATACTAAAATAATGATTAATCATTTTTATAATTTTATTTTTTCTTTAAATACAAACTATCCTCATTATATATTTAGATATATAAACCAACCAAAATAACTTAGTATGACTGCTATTTGGCTGCATCGAGGGCTTATAATCATGGGAACAAATGTGATAAAAATTATCTTACATAGAAATAAAGAGTATTATCCTATACAGTGCAATTTTTATTATTAAATTTAAAATTTAAATTTATTAAATATAATTGTATGAACCAATTATTTAATCTCCGGTTCCTTCATAAAAAATTTTAAACGTCTCAAATGAGTTTCTACAATCCTCTTTGAATTTTTTATGCTATTACACGTGTTAAGTAAAATTGACGGTATGGGCTTCTATTTGGTGGGTCCTAACCTGGTCATGGCTATTTTCAATTGGGTTTTAAGTCTTGAACCAAATTAAGCCTGTTTGCTTTTTCTTGATTTGGGCTATATGCTACATCAAAAGGGCACAAGGGAAAAACTATTGATCTCTGCTACGCTGAATTCGGCCTTTTCTTTTATCTTGGGCTAGAACTTTATGATCCTTTTTTTCTGGGCTAAAAGATATTAACTTTTTCATATACAGACCCATCTACCGGTAGAAATTCTCAATATGGTGTCCATCTACAGGTATCCATTTCCCAACATGGTATTCATCTACAGGCAGAAATTCAGAAGAAATTAAAAAACTACAGCATCTAATCTAAACAAATGTAGTAGCCACTTTACATGAAAGAGTGAATTTCGGATTATAAAATTCCCCAATTTGCAACCTATTGCAATATTATATGGTCAAAGTGAAAGCATTGTGAGGCCATGGGAGCTAGCCTCAAGAGATGCAGGTGACCTTCTCACACTGACTACTCTCCTGCAGAGTATCTGAAGAGCTTGCTGCCATCTGCGGTTGCTGCTGTTGCTGCTGCTAAGAGCTGGTTCAAATCCAAAGGCTATTTGACCCACATGGTATATTAAAAGCCTAACGCCTTGGCTTATATCGATACAACCCTGATGAAGAAGGCTGACACTGAAGGAGAGTTTAAGTAGAAATGAGCATGCCAAACCAGCTAGAATGGGACTTATACCATGAGAAGGGGATAGAAGGGTAGCCAGAATCACCATTTGCAAAGCCATAGTAATACACCTTATAGAAACTTGGGAAAAGTTTTTGGTTTTGGCTTTGACTTATTTTTTGTTTCTCCCTAAAAGCAATGGATGGTCAAGTATATATTGAATAAATGTGTCAAGGTGAAGCTTTAATTTTTCTTTGGAAAGAAGGCATATGCAGGCAAAGCAATTCATTTGGGAAAGTGGGAAAACTTGAAAACGCAAAACTAGAAAGATAAAGTAATCAAGGCAACGCAAACTTTTGTTCACATTGTGATCACAAATTAAACTCATAATCAATGAAATCCCATGTGCACTATTAATCCAGACACAGTCAATAAAAACAAAAAGATACCCTTTCTTCTATGTTATCTCGCAGATTAAAATGTTTGTTAATTACTTTTAACTGTCACAGCTTTGTCAATAATTTTGCTTTATCATCATCTTGAAATTAAAGGACTGTTCATTGAGTACGATCGTACGATTTATCAAGGAAACCAACTGAAGTCAACAACATTTCTGACATATATTCTAATTAACCATAAAAGTGTAAGAAACAAAAATTCATAGTCTTGACATTAAAAAAATTAAAGAAAAAAAGAGAAAAATCCATATATATATATATACACACACACACTCATGAAGACTAGATTTCAAGTTTTGATCATAAAATATCTCATGTTCTCACCCGAAATGAGCATCTGCTTAAAGTGAAAGCATGCTGAGAGTATGGAAGTTATCCTCGTCCGATTGTCCCGCTGGAGACCTTCTTACATGGGTTATCCTCTGGCAAACTAACCGAAGAGCTCGTTGCCATCGGTCGCCATTGTCCGGAGCTGGCTGATCAGCCTCGAAGGCAATCTGATTCAACTGAAAAAAGAAGAGCCTGGAGGCATCAATCACGTCAATGTAAACCGGACAAACAGTCCTCAAACTGAAGGAAAGTTTGAGAACGAAAGGGCAAATCAAGCCTGCAACTAAAGGAGTGAAACTACGGGTGGAAGATACGAGGTGGAGTTTGGCTAGTGCTATTAAGTGCAGCACCATTGAAATGGAAGCTTATGAAGTGAAAAACAAATCTTGGAAAAGAAGTTGGAATTTTGTTCTTTTGGGTTTGGTTTATTCTCTAGCGAATGAAATGCGATCCAGCTGTACGATGGAGCCGGTGAAATGTGCCATTGAAGGCAAGAGAATGTATTTGAGACTATGTTCGAGTTTAAGAGAGAGCTTGAAAACCTTTTTACTCTGCCAATGTAATAACCAATAACGAATAACTTAAGTTGGCTTTATCTTCTCGATGGATAAGTTTATTGTGACTCATTAAAGGCTTCCATGATGATTACATGTCAAAGAAAGAAAGATCAATGTATACTGTTTCTTGACTTAGCTATGACACTGACCAGAAATAAGATGCCAAATGGAACTTTTCCCATTTTGTACATTGTGGATAATGAAATACTGTTCCTTTCATCAAGCAGTTTTTTTTTTTTTTTTTGCCGGTAAAGCATAGAGGCTTCACAAGCATGTTACTAAGTAAAAAATGTTATTTGAGATTATAAGTATATAAGTATGTTCCATACTAATATTAGTTTAATATGTAAACTTATTCAATTCTTTTTATATGAAATTTATTTTCAACAATTAATACTTTTTTCTTTTTTATTAAAAAAATGCAATTAAAAGAATCTTAAGTTTTATTTGAATTTAATTTATTTTTTTCATGATTTTAAGAACACAATCTTTTAATTAACTTTATTTCAAAATACATCTCACAAATATCAATCTTTGAACTTTGATTAAATGCATTTATTATGTTACTCTTTTTTTATAAGTTTATATTTGATATATTAGTAATATATATTTTATATAATGTCAACAAATCAAATATTGATAATTCATTAATAAGATGAATCAGATAATAATATTTTATTAATAAATAATTTTTTAAAAAATAATTTATATATATTTATTTTAAATATTTATATTTATTCATTAATAAAATATAAAATTTATAAATTAATAATATATCCAATATAAATTTATTATGTATTATTATTAACTGTTTAATAGTACCATACAAACCATGCAGTTAGAGCAAATCAGATGGTCCGGACGGAAGCGTAACCTAATTTATATCTTCTCCGATTACACATACCCACGTGTCGAGGTTCGAATGATAAAGTGGGCCTGTTAGGAAATTTCCTTGAAGTTTCGGATGATACTTTGAGAGAATGGTGGTTCAGATATTTTTTTTGTGTTAACATGCGGATAATGCAGACGACATATATAAGGAGGGGGCGCAACCAATCGTTTATATAAACATTTATATGATTTGATCTTCTGCCAACCTAATCGTTTTCAATCATGATTTCATCAGAAAAGCAGAGATATTCCTTGCTTTCAGATTAGTAAGACGATCAAAGTCATTATAGTTTTAATTTGAAACATGGTGAAGTGAATTAATTTGACTAAATGACTCAAGTTCAACTACAAATTCTTTGAAAGGGCAAGGAAGTGGATTTACTCTTTCAAATTATAGGGTATATCCCAAAATGCGGTCATCAATTAGGTTACTAAAACCCAAATTTTAACCTAATTAATCCTTTTTCCTTAATGTAAATTTTTTTGACAGGAAAGAATATAAGTGTAGCCTATTTATTTACATTTAAAAAAAATAAATATTTATAAAATTAAAGTTCGATTCCCAAACTCTTATAATTCCCCTTCTCTTATTCTCTGAACTGTAACCACTCTTATATCAACAAGAAAAATTCAATATTGGGCATGTATTGCCATGCATGCCTATCATAAGATGATCAAGAAAGAATAATTGCAGTAGCCCAGAAATAGTGTCAAAAATCTACTTTTTTTTTACTTTTGTTAAGAACAAAATTAAAATTTTCTGTTTCTGGCATTAGCGTACATAAGCAAAATAACTTTATTTCGAATTGCAGTTAGTTTTTTTTTGTAAAAATTCACATTTCTTATAATAAATTTCGATCAAGTACAGACTACAGATCATACTAATTTATGATAATTATATTTTATATATTCAATGAATCAATTCTAACGGTCACAATTTTATTACAAAGAATTTTTTTTTGGTATATAAAAAGATTCGTAATTTGAAATTAGAAATAGAGATTTCGTATATTAATATTATTACAAAGTAACAAGCGAAAGAAAGGACATTCTTTGGTTATTGGTCTAATCTACTTGGCTCAATACGTACTGGGTGACAGTTAGACAAGGCATGTGGCTGGCAAAGCTGGTCACAAGCATCGTGATTTTTCCCACAGGAGTTTCATTATCTTCACCCGATCGACCAAGGGGATTGGTCTAATGTGGAATGGTGGGTGAGTGCGCAACCAACTTTCCGTACCATATGAAGACAATCGGTTTGGAGAAGAGGGTAGATCACTCCAATGAATCAATATCCAGGAGCCAATGCTAATAGTCTCGATGAAGAAAATTTTATTGGTACAAAGAAATTCATAATTTGAAATTTAGAAATAGAGAAATCGTATACTAATATTACTACAAAGTAATAAGCGAAAGAAAGGACATTCTTTGGTTATGGTCTAATTAATTGTCTAATCTACTTGGCTCAATACGTACTGGGTGACGGTTATACAAGCCATGTGGCTGGCAAAGCTGGTCACAATCATCATGATTTTTCCCACAGAAGTTTCATTGTCTTCACCCGATCAACCAGCGGGATTGATCTAATGTGGAATTGTAGGTGAGTGCTCAACCAACTTTCCGTACCATATGAAGACAATCGGTTTGGAGAAGAGGGTAGATCACTTCAATGAATCAATATCCAAGAGCCATGCTAATAGTCTCAATGAAGAAAATTTTATTGGTACAAAGAAATTCGTAATTTGAAATTTAGAAATAGAGAATTCGTATATTAATATTATTACAAAGTAATAAGCTAAAGAAAGGACATTTTTTGTTTATGGTCTAATTAATGTTGGATAGAACTAATTAGTTTAGTAGCTAGTATTTGCACATGTTAATATTATTACTTTGTAAATACTTAATGATATAAGATATAAAAATGAAAAAGAAATATATTCATTAGTGACTTAATAACCCCGTTACCAATATGTTTATTAGGAAATTATACCAAAATAGGAATAATTTGTTTCTAAATCTATAGGAAATTATATTTTGATTTGTTAAGTCTTAAGTGGCACATTTGTCAATTTCATTAAAAAGGAAAGGAAAAAAATGAATGGAGATATATTTTTATAATGCCATCAAAGATCGGCCTAAGAGATGATTTTTGGGCCGGTAAAGGAAAAGATAACTAATTTATGAGCCCAACAAAAGATATGGGCTTTAGCCTATCTTTTTATTAACGAAGTTGGACCTATATTTCAGCTTTTTAAAAAGTAAGCCCAATTAATAGAAAATTTGCGTTGCTTTGGTGGTAAGAAAATTTAAAAGAAAGATACCGTTCAACGGTAAAATTTTCCAAAGCGGACACCGAAACTTGCGGCGTACGCAAATACTAACCGCCACGCTGACCTTGCCCACCAAAATCCAAAAACCTCAAACCGCCAAAAAAGGAAAATCTCTGAAAATAACTTGAGTAAATAAATTCCCAACCACCTTTCTTCCGATTTCATAGTTAAAGCGAAAAGAAAATAATGAAGGAAGACGACGACGACAGTGGACCTCCAAACAGAGAACTGTACGCACTGTTACACCTATCACCGGACGCCTCCGATGAAGAAATTCGCGGAGCTTCACCCTTACAAATGCCAAGCTGTAAGTTTTTCTCATTAAAAAAAAATCTGTTTTTTTGGTCAACTTTTCTATTCGAAGTTTTACTTAAGAATTAGCATTGTTTTTTTTTAGATGAAGGGAATTGCTACAGAGAATTTCCAAAGAATACGTAAAGCATATGAAATATTATCTGATGACAACAAAAGGCAAATATACGATATTTACGGTATGGAAGGTTTGAATTCTGGATTAGAGCTTGGTCCAAAGTCGAATAAAGTGGACTGACATTAAAGAACAGCTCGAAAAGTTGAAGCGAATGAAGGAACAAGAAAACATGTCAGCGCATTTTCTACCTTCGGGTTCAATAGTGGCTAATTTATTGCTGCCTCAGTATCTTGATGGTGATGGCATTATGGGAGGGTAAGGGTATTCACCTTTCTTTCTTTCTTTTTTTTTTTTTTTTGTGGGTTCCTTAATTTGATTGATTTGGTTGAATGCTTGATGTAGTATTGTTGGTTGATACTTGTTCACGATTGCATTACATTAATATAACATATTGTGTAATTTTATTTAATTTTCAGATAGGCTATGGCTAATGAAGTTCAGTCTCAGTTATCGAAACATAATGCTCTTACAATTGGTGAAAATTTGTCAGTCAAAGCACATTCCAGTAGTGGGGTTGCCTCTATTGTTTTTTGGCATCAGATTTCCTCAGATTCTTCGATAGAGTTTATAGGATCAGTTGGCTTATGTAGTGTTAAAGGGGTGCAGATGACTAGGTAGGGAATTTGTTTGTCTATTTAGTAAGTTAGTAGTTTTACCATTTATATTCTTGATCTTTTTTTTCTTTTCCATTAAGTTATCGTTACACTCAACTACAACAATGGACATTGCAAAGTCTTTGCATGATGGTTTAATTAATATTTCCAATTCCTGGACTCGTTAACTCTCTGACACAGCAAGTGGAAATGAATGCTACCTTTGTTTAATTTAAGTTGGTTTATTATTCTCCGCTGGGAAATTTGAAATGCTAACTCTTAATTTTAACTGCTCTGTATGAGGCTTCTAATCTCCTTCAATTGGTTTTTGGTCTTCACCACTTCTACACGTAGAACTTTTGCTAGGTCCAGAGTCATCTATTGGGGTTGGATGTCAAAAGAAAGACAAAAATATGTCTGCTGCTGGAGAAGTGAAGGTAAGTCTATGTTCACCATTTAGATTACCGAATTTATGGCAGAATAACTCACAGAAAGAAAAATCCCAATGGAGCGTCCTTCCAGAAAATATCAAATTCCATATAAAAGTGTAGAAGCTGACTTTGATGCCCAAAAGACTTTATTTACAATTATTATACTTAGACTTGTTAGGCCCTTAAAGCCACATTATCCTTTTACACTCTTTGCTCAAAATAATCAATAAGTATCCCGGAATTTTAAGCAATATATTGTTCTCCTCGGTTTGATTGTGAAATAGAGCTTGACTTTGAATGGAGATAACTATGAAATTTTGCACAAAAGCTTTTGGAGATAGAATCAGTAGGCACATTGATTCTGCTATTATAATTTATCAATATTTCTGTTTCAGCCTCTCATGGGGATAAGGACAAATGAACAATCGTTTGGATATTGTAATCATACCATGCCAAAGTGGTTGACCTTTTCCACCTTTTATTCGGAACCTCTTGTTTTTGTTTATTTATTTCTGCCAGCATGATCCCAGTTGTATTTCTTTTTAATATTTTCGTTCATGTTAAAAACTGCAGTTTGGCACACGTTTTTTGGGGTATCAGCTCATTATACTCATCTTTTTTCCTCAAAATCTCATGGTCGTATTGCAGGCAGATTTATAAGGTATGTTTGCATAACTGATATGATGATTAATAAGTGAGGCAAGTTAGTATTTATTCTTCTTCTATGCTGATAAATGAGTTTCTATTGCAATGGGTTTTTAGGATAAATTTCTGTTGCAATGTTTAGTTTGACATTTTTCTTCCATTCTGTTTATAAGGTTTACATATATGACGTATTGCACGATCTGGACTATGAGTTATGCATAGATGGTATTGAAATATTGTAAATAAAAATCTTTTTCATAGGTGTCATTTTCTTGCAGAATATTGTCCAAGAAGCCGATAGAAACAATTCCCCTCTTGTCATTCAACTGCAATTTCCTTTAGAACTTCTTGATAAGTGGTTATACTAGTTCTTGTAAAATCAAATATTCAAAGGGGATGCATCTCACTAAGAGAAGGGGGAAATATTATGGATGTTTGATAAACAACTGGCTAAAACAATTGAAACACATAGTCACGAGTGTATAGACACTCGTTCATGTTTTCATAATTTGTCTGGAAATTCAGAAAGTTGCTGAGACATAACTTAAATTCTAAGCCAAATGATCATTTTGATTATCAGTATATGTTAATCAAGCTTACTACGCAGAAGAAAATAATTCTGCTTTCAAAGATGTTTTTATTCCAAATAGTTTAGTAGAATACTTAAAAGCGATAGACGTTTATTATTGCAAACATTCCCTTAATTAACCAAGACACCAGGTTGTTTATTGCTGTCATTTAGCTGTGGCACCTTGGAAGTCAAATTTGCTTCTTACAATGAGTAGTATTTTTGTTAATTAGTTAGAACAGTGGCTGCTAAGCTTAAGGGTCTTCACTGACTGCCTTTTTTTCTCCAGCACCGCTCTTGAGGTTGAAGTTGGTGGTGGGAGTAAAGTGTCTGATTTTGGCACTGTTCACATGCTGTATACAATTGGAATTCGGGTAATTGCATCTGTCTTACTGCAGAAGTATTGCACGCTATAATGCAATATTTAGGTGAAGAGTCCTACTTATTCATGGATATAGCTATGAAGAAATATTGTGTTCCTCCTCCCAACCAAAGGTTATCATTTTGTTGGTACTATTGTGTTATTCTGACTTGTTTACTTTGTCTATACTTGCTTTATATGTGTGATGATATTGTCATATAGGAGTAAAAACCAAAAAGATCTTTAAATCTTTTCTTTGTTGACAGGGTATCTTTTGGAGATTTGAGTTGTACCATGGAGGCCAAAAATTAATTATTCTTGTAAGAATATTCATGTCCTCTGAGTTGTCTTCAAAGGTCATTTATATTTGAGGCATAGCATTGCTCGTCTGATTTTCATTTGATATTTTGATGTATGGTTCTTCTGTCTTTTAGTGCTGGATTTTGCTGGGACAGGATCCCGAATGAGGATTTGAGCTTCGGTATTCATAGGATATAATATTCTATCCTTGCATTATTTTCAGTTCTCAGAAATGAAATGCTTTAAAATTGCATCAGAAGCTATGTTATAAATTTTATGATGCTATCATTTAGAAAACTTTGTCTAGCTGTCAACATTTTAGTAGAAACTAGGAGATGCCATTGCAACTGTGCATGACTTGAGCTTTCTACATTGTGAATTAGAATTGAAAGATATAGCTTAAACTCAACGCCACAAACACTTGCATTGTATGAACTTTTAGATCAATGTATTGAAGAGTGATAACAGTTAGCTCTGTGACATTGTATGTAAGCATGCTCTAAGCAAAAGATATTATATAAACTTAACTTTGCCCTGTTGGGATTTTGTAATAGATATTGCTCTCTTGTATTGATTATGATCCTGAGTTATGGTTCCTTTGTTCTAATCTGTTGTTTACGTGTGTTATATGTAGATTTTGCTTTCCAGGGATTTGAATCCTGTTTTAGCTACTGGGGAATTTGTAGTTCCAACATCAATTTACTTTATACTCAAGGTAATCACTTACGCCTTTCCTTATAGTTTTGACCAATTGTTTCTACAGTTTGAATATCTTATAGGGGTTATTTGGATGTTTGCTGCATGAATATACTCTTTAGTTCTTTTATATAGAATCTGTTATTATAATGTTATTTTGTACCCTCTTCAAGCTAAATATCATATGCCTTAGGATAAACTAGACATGTCTCTATTTTTTTGTGCTTTTTCTTATTTTTAATCATTTATATTTGACGATAACTATCCTTATATGTACGCATGCAGAAATTTGTTTTTAAACCATATTACCTTAAGAGGGAAAAGATTAAGACATTGGAAAATAAGGAAAGGACTGCCACCCAGGTATGTTTACCCTAATGCATTAGGTATTCCTCATTTTATATGCCTTTTTGTCCTCTTTATTACTTTTATTACTTTTATTACGATGCTAGAAATCTTCTGCTGTTTATATATTTGTGATGTAACTTCTTTCTATTTATATATATTTTAGTTCGTCACAGTGTTTCTACATGAATGAAAGCCAAGATGCAAACCATACATTTGCAGAGTCATACTTTGATGAATGAATTTTGTGATATTTCAGCTGGGAGTGTGGTGCATATAAATTTTAATAATTATGAGATTAAATATTTTGAGCTTGCACACTTCCTTTATAAGCAGCTGAGTCTTGTTCAAAAAATTTTAAGAACGTATTTTACTTGATGTGTATGAAGGTTCAAGAGGCAAGGGAAAAGCTGCAAAAGCTTAGCAGTTTTTAGAGAATGTGGTCAACAGGAAAAGAAATAAGCAACAGGAAACAGGTGGACTGGTTATTATTAAGGCAATTTATGGAAATCGTAAAGCTTTAAAGAAAGTAGATGAGCTGAGAGAATTGAATGATGAACTAGCCTCAAAAGTGTTGGATGTAACACTACCTCTTAATTTCCTCGTTAACGATTCAGGCCAACTTAAGGTTTGCTCCAGAAGGAGGGGGGCGCATTTCTTTCGATTTTAAGACTCTTGAAAAGTTTATTTAGTAAATATAACTGGGATTTGGATAATTTGGCTATTGGTGCATGCTTGTTTGTTCGTTGGCTACAAGTGCATCAGAAGAACCGGCAGTTGATAGATACCTTTAGCATAATAACCTTGGTTCTTTGTCTCTTTGACGCACCTTCATGACTGTGTAAAGAAGTCGGGCATTATGGGCTTCTGCGATCCATGCCCTGGAGAACCTAAGCAATTACATGTGGAGTACACTTGCGGTGGTAACAAATATGAGGTACTACGACCACTTACTCTTTCTTATTGTCCTAATCGAAAGATTAAATGGTAATGATGGCATTGACCAAGAAAATTCTGAACCAGGTTGTTGTGGATGATTACGAGGAGTTGGTAATACCGCAGTTGGCACACACAAATCTGAATTCACAATTTTTAACTTGATTCCTGGTTACCTCCGGCATTTTTGATGCTTGACATGCCTTGGAGTTACCAAAATTTTCACTTCCGCGGGTACATTTTCTAAAAATATCAGGACTGGTTATTTAGAGATCTGGTAGATGCCATTTAAGTTCACAAATAAAATTGGAATTTTTCCCGTTGTTTTTTCCTAATATAAAGTAGCCCGTACCATTCAACCATCAAACCTTAGCTTTCATGTGTTTTTCAGGCATCTTTGGGAATTTTTTTAAAAAAATTTTCTCCGTTATTTTTCTTAACTTATATTAAAGACAAAATCTTACCAGTATTTTTGTCAAAAATTACAAGTCTCACTCAATTTTAAAACATGGAACCCCTAGAGATATAATAAAAGGTTTTAATTGTAGTTAGGAAAGATTTAAAAAAAAAAAAAACCCATGAACCGAATGATTTAGGAGTCATGAGAAAGCATGTTTAATGATGAGTTCACTAATTGCTGGGTCGAAGAATGCTTCCACCACGGTAGAACCAAATTCACTGGTGCTTTTTGAACCATTGATTCCAACCGCAACGGGCTTGGTCAGAAGCTTAACCCCTTGCTTCCAATATCTGTGGTCTGAACCAACATGCAAGAAAACCCTTGATAAATAAGGTGAGATGACAAGATGCTATGACAATTATACTTTTCAAGTAAGGGCCAATAAAGAAACACCAACTATACCTGGCCCAGTAGATACTATGATAGAGTTCTCTGCATCCATCACCCAATCCACCCACAGAACAAATCCATGACATAAACCATGTTTGGTGAATTGAACCTATAAGAAAGACTAAGAATTAGTTGCAAGGATTTGTATATGCAAGGATATAATAACATTATTATCATAGTTTTTGTACTTCGTGCAGGTTGGTAGGGTGGGTTTGGAAAAGGTGTACCTGTGCTTTTCCATAACATGGACTTATCGGTTTTGAGAAATCAAATTCTACGATGGTAAATATCTCACTTAGCTCCTGAAACACATTTATTTCAGTTGAATTAGTATCAACACCATAATTGCTATTCTTACATCAATTTTATGTGCATTAATTACCTTACTCTCATCACACTGCCAGATAGAAAAAGGAAGAGAAGGGCCCTCTTTTGGTGCTGGTAATTCACCACATGCACCTAAGGTTGTATTTACCACAGAATGGTCAAAGCCTTCAACCTCACCTAAGCAATGGCGACTCCTCCAAAGATCCTATAAGAGAGGTTAATGAAACCGAAGTTTTTGTCATGAAACACTTGGACAAATCACAGATAACAGGGGAAATTCCATCTGATTTTTCTTTATTTCTTTACTCTTTTTTTATTCCTTCTGAAGGAATCTTAGGGATGCATTTGAAAGTAAAAATACCAACTCACCGGGAGAGACATAGCACAAGCCTTCAGTATTCCTTTGCAAGGCATTATCAATACATCTTCTGAAAGGACAGGGTCAAGCAAGGTACGATCCTTCCTAAATCCAGACCAAATTGGAAAAAAACAGATCAAATGAGAGTGAATGGTTCATAAACAGATCATTGGAACAATATTATTTCTTTATCCCATTAAACAAGTTAACAAATAAATCTGTGCTGTAAAATTCTTAAACTTCACAAGTTTAAACAAAGGATAGCTATTTGTCCATTTGGTTATAATTAAGAAAATTAATCTGTGCTAAATGGAGATGTGTAAATTATAACTGCCACTCCACCACCATTTGGTTATAATCCTAAATTTATAAACAAGCTACAAACTACAAAGTTATAAAAAAAATCAGCTGAGTTATGGAAGAAGACACCGACTGAACCCCAAACGAGCTGAGAGACTCAAGCTAACTTTTTAAATAAACTTAAATGATCTTTAAACAAGCTGAGTTATGGAAACTATCATAAGAAGAGAACATACCAAAACCGCAGGTTCTGCCATGGAAGCATCCCTTCGTTTGCATAATAATATGGTTCACCAATCAACAGATCAACCTGTGGAAGGAGGCATAATCCAAATTTATTTGAATTTTATGTATATTTGATTATTAGAACATTAAAATCTCATTATCAAACATATTCAAGCACAATTGGTTTGACTTTATGATGCTCAAACAAAGATTATTGACAACTTCTAAATACTAGAAAACTGCATACGACAATAGGATTTGATGTGTTAAAAAGTTCTAATTTTAGAGCTAGCTATTTGACCTCTCCTTTTTCTTTCCCAGAAAGAGAAAAGTGAAATTTAGAAGAAAAAGGAGGTATCATAAAACTCATGAAAAGTAGAGTGATATTCTTTATTTATATAAAGAAACAGAGTTATATTCAACAAGCATAAGACGCTGGCAAGCAAGTAAAGCAGAATCACGACAAGAATTACCTTCTTCCCATGAGTATCATTTATGGTCAAACATGCTTTCCTTTTTTCAGAAACTTCTACACGATCCATAGAGAAACCATTTGCCTTAGCAACATTTTCCAAATATTGGGCACCCTTGTCTCTCAATCCAGGAAACAATGAAATTACATGTGATGTTTTCGAAAGATTTGCAGCAAGAAGTGTTAAAAAAATGCTATCATCCGCAACAACACATAATCGGTTAACTCTTCCCTGCAACTGCAAACAGTTGAGTTTACAATTAAAAGCATGCAAACATAAAAGGGGTAGATGGGGGAAGACAGGGGGAGGAAGAAAAATAGTGGAAGAGAAAACTAAAAACTGTTAATCAAGAAATATTAAATCAGCCATTACTGTAAGAATGCACAGGGAAGCAAATGAGATAAATGAAGGCATGGGAAGAAGCGAATCATTCAGTATGAGAGAGAGAGCCTACAGCATTTCTTACTGCTGCCAACATGGACAATCGCCATTTATTGTCTCCATAAGTTGCAATTCTTTCTGATGACAATAACAGCTGAAAACCCCCACTTCTGTAGTCATGCTGCCTTATGTCAGTTTGAGGGACTCGGACATTGACATTATATGAGACATTAGTCTCTGTATGAGAAGCTTCCAAAAGAACTTCTTCTCCCTTTGACACTTTCATACCTGTCCCTCGAAGGAACCAGACACATTGCTTCCAGTGGTCACACCAATTCCCCTTTCCTAATGAAGCATCATACGAAAATGAGGTCATAAACTCAGAAAAGTTTTTATTTTGTAGGGAGATCTGAAAACATCATCAAAACAGGAAAATGATTTAAGCAGAAGTCTGATCCATCTACTGTGTTTGCATTTTTAAGAATATAAACAGAAGAAAAGCATTTAGCCAATGGTTTTTAAAAAGATTTCCTTGTTAAGTTATTTTGACTTTGAAGAATGTCAAGAGTTGATAGATTATAATGTGACTAAACAGTTATGCACAAACATTTATGGACCAGACTCACCTATGTTAGCTGGAGATTTTATCCATCCAGGAGCAGTGGAATAAAAGATGGTTCCTTCAGGATCAAGTTGAAGAATCCACCTGCAAACAAACACACACATGTTTATTGAAAATCCCTAGAAAAGAAACTTTTGACGTGAAAGTGCATATATACATATAATTACCATGAAACTACAGCATGAATGCTACCATCATCTATTGCCTTGATTTGCACCTCAGTTTCCCCATGGCTGTCAGGCCTTTTCCAAAAGTCAAATTCAAATATTTTGAAGGGCTCTGAAAGCTGGATGAATTCTAAATAAAGTAGGAATTAAACTGCTGGCCCTTTCTTGGAAGTCTGTAAAACAGTGGGTTAAGTAATGAGATTACCAGTTTTGTTTCTTTCCTTATAGCATCACAATGCATTGGATACTGTTGCGATTTGACATGTATAAAAGTATCCAAGCCTGCAGGAACAAGATAAATACCATCCGATGCTTTTGCTTCATTACCATATAAATCATGAAGCTTCCACAAGCATGTACTTTCAACCAGCTGGAGAGAATAAATAATTAAAAAAAAAAGTAAGATTCCGAAACCCTTCAACCCAACTAACAGATTAATAATTCAGGATAAAGATGAAGACCTGGCCATAAGTAACAGCTCGATACGGCACCGTTAGTGGATTTTCCACCAAAAGCTTGTCATGTGCATGTTGAAGAGTCGGAATCAGCCCTTCCCCCAGTAACTCTGAGTCCAATATCTCACTAACCTGCACTTACTTGATAAGAAAACCATAATTAACATTACAAACTAAGCAATTAAACGACAACATTCCATTTCTCAACATCCAAAACACAATCTTTAACATTGTAAGAGATACATTTAAATGGTCAATGCAAATTTAGGATTCAATGATTTGATATTGACACTCACGAGGACATCAGCGCGAGAAGGAATATCAACACCAACTTGGAGTTCATCAGAACGCTTATTAATAAGATTGATAGCTTTTCCCATACCATTTCGATGCAAAACTTTCCTCATCAACTTCGCCATTGGAAGATAAGATTCACATGCTGTCACCATCCCGTTTAAACCCATGGCTCGCGCAGCCATCATTGACAACAACCCAGTTCCCGCACTGCACAATATCATCAATGGCCAGTTCAAGATATAATTATTCCAAACTTAGTTTAGATACCAAATAATAATAATAATAAATATAATAAATATTTTTAATAAATAAAGTTAAAATTTTGCTAATAATAAATGTATTATCCCCATTAATAATCTTTTATGGAAGATTGAATGTGGAACTAAAGTAAGAAACGAAGCCTGAAAAAGTTTTTTTTTTTAATTGAATTTTGAAGAATTACCCGATATCGAGCACGTGGCAAGGTTTGGTTAAAGTTTTGTCAATGGCTAAACGGAAGACTTTGTTCCTGTAAGAGTCGTTAAGCATGTCGAGATACGACGTCGTAGCTAAAAGGGGTTCCTTGGAAAATTCAGGGAGCTCGTCGTTGTCTTCGATGACGACCCACTCTGAGTTTCCAGTGACTGGGTCGAGTTTGAGTTGGAAGACTCGCTGGGAAGAGTCGGAAGTCATGAGTCGAGGAGGAGGCAAGGATGGTGGTTTGAAGTGACGGAGTGAGTTGGTGGTCAAAGTCAAACGAGTCGAGAAGCAAAGGAAAATGGAAGGAATTAGGGTTTTGGAGATGAGAGAATTCATCAGCGCGAAAGGCAAAGAACTTTAACAGCGTGGCGGTGCTTCGCTGTAGTGTCTGTATATTTTTCCAAGTTGGGCCACTGCTGTCAACGGCCATGGCAAATTAATTTACTACTCACTTTATTTATCAAATTATTTTTCTTTTTTTAAATAATTTTTAAGTAATTTGTATCGAAATTTTATTTTGGTTCATGTAATTTTTTAAGAAAAGATTTTTAACGGATATAAAATTTGAATTTTAATATTTTTTAAATTATGATTTTTTATAATAAAAAATATTTTAAATAATTTAATGAAATTAGATAATATTTTATTGTGTTTATTTTGAAATAATAAAAATTAAACCTAATTACAATGTATATGCAGCCCTTAATTTTTAATTTTTATTCTTAAACTGTTTTTTTTTATAAAAAAATGTATTTTAAATAGTTTACTAAAAATATATAACATTGTATTGTATTTATTTTCAAATAATAAAATTAAACCTAATTACGATTTATATCTAACCTTTTTTTATTTTTAATTTATGAGATTTAGTAAGAATTTTATTTGAATGATGCATTTATCTTTTAAACTTTTTCTACCTATTTGGTGTTTTAAAATTTTAGGCATATAAAAATCAAATTTTAGACATGATATTTTCACTTTAAATTAAAACAAAATTGTGAAAATCAAATTGAATTACAGTTTCTTGAATTTTTTAGATACATTATTATTTATTAGTAAAGAAATTATATATATATATATATATATAAAAGAAATTTAAAAGCTCCGTGTTGGGCAGATAAAAAGCGCAGAAATTATAGGATACGAGATCGTTTTGGAAAGGGTGATCAGTGAGTTGGGGATTTAGGGATTTGGAAGTGGTCTCGGAAATGGCGGGAGGGGCCTCATCATCATGCATCTTCTGTCAAATTGCTCGCAATTCCACTGCCAATACTCTCCTTCACTCTGTTTGTTCCTTTTCTCCCCTCGTTATATCCTCTGTTTGGCTACCAATTTAATTCCACGATCGTCTTCTCTTCAACCCAGCAACCAAACAGAAATTTACGTTCTAATTAAACCTGTTTGACTGTTCTCAGGATGACAAAGTCGTTGCATTTCAAGACATCAAGCCTTCTGCTTTAAGGTTTCATAAATTGATTTAAATGTGGAATTCTTTTTTCTATGAATTTGCCTGATCGCTTCGAAATTTTATAATTAATGAGAAAATTATTAATCTTTTTGTAGGCATTACTTAGTAATCCCTGTGAGCCACATTCCAACAGTCAAAGATCTTCAAAACAGAAATGAAGATTACACTTTGGGTAAATTTTCCATGTTGGATTTTGTTTATCTTTTTCTTCTTCTTTTTTTGCCTTAGCCAAGTTTCTTCATTTTTGTTGTTATTCTTCAGTAAGTCATATGTTAAACGTGGGACAAACGCTATTACGCAGAGATGCGCCTCAGTCAATTCAATACAGGTATTGTTTCTCATAAATTAAATAACTTTCCGAAATGAATCTTCTTTTGTGTCCTAATAGCTGCATTATGGTTTTTCATTACTTGAATCGACTTTGATCTTCTGTTTATAGTTGCATTACAATGTTACTGTAAATGTTCTTACAAACAGAAATATTTTATCTGTGAATTTTTGCGTCTGCCTTTCTCTGCGCATTAACACTCAGAATTCAATCTCCCCCCTTCAAAGCCATGTAGATGCATTCTGTTGTGATGATCGTTGTTGTTTGATTAGATTTACAATCACTTCATTGTTGGAGAAGTGTACTATGGCATTGCTCATGTTGTATTGCATGCATTGTGTGGCAAAGGAGCTGAATGTTACCCTTTGGGAGGGGAAGGGTGAGGACTTAGAATATCAAGGATGTGAGTCTTACTTTCCTTATCAGAATTTATTTAAATTTGGTGGTAGATAATGCTCTTCCCTTCAGTTTCAAATGTGCTTGTGAATCATATAAATAAAGCATTGACTGAAAATAAGGTTGTAACGTTTACGGAATATTGCATAAGTCTAGAAAGAAATAGGTCATGGCCTCGAAGGTTACCTAAATTCATGTTTTATTTGAGAAAAGCATTTCTTTTTTCTCCCTGAATTCGGTTATTTCAAAGAAGGTTTACTATCTGTCAGTATTGGGTTTTGGCAGATTTGGTTTTCATCAGCCTCCGTTGAATAGCGTTGACCATCTCCATCTCCACTGTTTGGCTCTTCCCTTCATGCCTAGGTAGGTGTTTGGCAGTTAGTACTTTCTTGTGCTTTTATTTTATTAAATTATCTATTTATTTTACCTTGAAATTTTCCAACAAAGTTGCAATAGCTTGAAGTACATATTTTAAGTTTTTAAAGAATTTGAACAGATGGAAACAAGTAAAATATTTGTCTTTGGGACCACTTGGTGGGTTTATTGAAGCTGAGAAGTTGTTGGAGAAGATAAAACCTTTCTCGCCAATTTCTCCATAGGTGCAATTGGATCACAGTTGAATTTCTCTGTTATATTGAAATCAAGGTATTTTGTTATATTTATGTAACTTCCCTGGCAAGTCATTATTGTTTGTTGAAGATATAGAATGCCCCTATAAGCTTATTCTTCATTTGTTCTATAAGGATTTGTGTTATACTAGAGAAGGGTTATTGTTCCTAATAAGCTTACATAAAATTTTTCACATGCACATGTTCATAATTAATGCTCCTATTTATACTTTTCTTTTGGTTACATTGTTTGAGATTAATATTAATTTGTGTTTGATACTCAAGGGTTGCTAAGCTTATGGCTAAGAAAGGTCTTGTCTGCTTCTAAGAAATCAATAGGAGTAAAAGTAGAGTTTGGTGAAATAGCTCTGATCCTCTGTTAATCATTTGACATTTTTTAAGCATTGGTCATAATATGCTGTATGTGATGAATATAAAAATTTTGCTGGTTAGTACTGCAACCTATAGTAAATTTTGCTAACTGCTAGAGGGTAAATTTTTTCTGTTTGGTGAGCACCAGAAGTTGCAGCTTTATACAGATTTGACATCCATTGTGCAATTCTCTAACACGAACATTTTATTTCACTATAATAATTACACAATATTTGTAAAGAATGGTTGTTCAAAAATTTCAACTTAATATTGATTGTTATCTTTATTTTAGCTGGAGCATCTTAGATTCACTTTAGCTTCACTCTTAGGAAATACTACATAGATTTACATTAGTTCTACTCTTATGAAATGCCTAATGGTTTTCAGTTATTTCTTTTGCAAGCATTTGAGGAGAAACATAGCTAATATTAGTATGAATATATAGTTACGGCAGTGAAATGCACGCTGCTTACTGACAACCATATTTAAGGAGTATTTAAGGAGATTCTTCCCATGTTGTGCTGTTCTATTTGGTTTTGATTCTGTTGGTAAGGTCCATGAAAACCATTTGGGCAGTTTCTTAATTTTCTAGAGGTCAGTAGCAGGGAAATTGGGATTTTTTCCTTTAAGATTGGGAATGATATCATCAGTTATTACTTCATGACCAAGACATTCCTCTATCATCGTGATAGCAGATAAATTGCAAAAGTGGTTGCATCTTGCGCTTGGAATATGTTGTGTTGTTCTTAGGCATTAATATCTTTCAGAGGCTTATCTGAGGATACTGCAATAGAAAAGTCAGAGATTAAATGTGATTAATGTGACTAACTCTCATCATCTTTCTGTCTATGAAAGCCGGTTCCTTCAGATCAAACAAAACACAATCTGCTCACATGCATCTTGTGTAATGAGAATGGAGACAGCTTGCAGAGCCTTTAAAGTGTTCTTGTTTATGGGTTAATTCTGTATATAGCCTATTCTATCTTTATTCTGGGAAATAAATTGGAGGGAAGTAAACTAGTGTAAAGAATGAACAAAACCAACACCCCAAAAAAAAAAAAAGGGTTTAAAATTTTAGAAAAATTATATATGAATTTGCAAAAATTAAAACTGTGTTTTGTTCTTGGTGTATTAATATGAATTATGATATAATAATTTTTATATTTTACATTACACTTATTTAACATGAAATAAATACGATACAAATTTACGAATTGTCTGATCTTTTAACAAAATTTATCGTCTCCTAATCCAATTCTTATCTCTCAATTAATTTCTTACCAGACAGAATGTGACCAAACCTCATACAATCATTTAGATAGGTCTACCATCCATTAGGTAAAACATTCATAAGTTTTCTTCGAACTGCCTTTGTTTTGTTGACCAGAAAAATATCATTATTGTTGTTGTTTTGTTATAACAAAGCTTTTAACAAAACCACCTACCATATGAAGAGAAAATATCAAATAATTCAATTTTGTGATATTCGGTGACCCAGTATAGCTGGCTGTTGAAAAAGACTTGGTTGAGTAGGACGTTAATGGCGCCAACGATTTGCTCGTCAAAGCATGGCAGCCATGATTTTGAATGAAAAGAATGGCTAAGAAAAACAAAATCATTTTCAAGCCTTTCGGTTTATAAAGTTGTGGGTTAATGAGTACAGTTATATCATTTGTTTATCAACAAACAATAATAGACTGCTTTGTTGCATGTAGCCATTGGCGCTTGGCATATGACAACCATTGCCAGAACAGGTTGCTGTTTGGTATATTTTGGATTCTCTTATTTCTTTCCTCCGCCGTTGGTAGGACAATGCCGCTGAGCGGGGCCTCACGGGAATCTAACTCAGGTTTATAAATAAAAGATCTTCGGGTTTGCTGTAAGCCTGGAAATGTACCAAAAAAAAACTGGTAACAATAAAGCATTTGTCTGCCTCGTAAAGAAACCAATGGCATTGGCCCACATTTCAGTGCCACTTTTGCACGCAGAACCTGCTGAAAATCCAGCTCACACTGCTACGTTTCTTAAGCTAACGGCGTTTTTATTTTGGGGTTGGATCATAGAAGGCAGGTGACAGGTCAATTTTTCTTTTGGATTTATTATTTTAGCATGGAATTTATGCCAGGAAGCTGCCCCATTCTCGATATCTCGACCCTCAATGGCAATGGTCAACATGAGTCTCACTCAAAAGAAATGGTTTTTAGTCTGTCAAAAATAATATCTCAATCCCTCAACTTCATTTGACTGCTTTGCCTCTCCAAAAGGCGGATTAAGACATAAAATTCATGGTGACAAACTGAGGTGGATGGATTCAATGGAAGTGGAACAACATACATGAACGATGTTTCCCAGTCATAGAGTACGAGACAAAAATAGTCCCAAAGTGTATCTCAAGGGTCCCAAATTTCACAGCCTGGGAAAGACAATAAAGGGACTTCCCTGTTTTCCCTTCTTGTTATAATGGATTACTTGATTTCTCCCAATACCAGAATCATCACTCACTACAAATCTTTCATTTGTTTTCCTTTAAGACGAGAAAATGTTTCCTCTTGTCCTAGGTAGGTCTTTTAATTCAATAAACATGCTAAGTTTTTAAGGTTTGAATTGGTCGATCCAACATATATTGTAAATGATTCTTTTTTTTTTATACTGATGATTTAAAATTTGGATCGGATATTGAACCGGTGATGTTACCAGTTTCGGATTCAACAAACAAAAAAAAAAATCCGAAACTCTTAAAGTCACATTCAATTGTCAATTATGATGTAAAAAAAGAAAAATAAATGCAAATTTCCACATTACAATCAAGGGAAAGATAAAAGGCTCATAAAGTGCTCTGTTTAAAACAGCTTCTATTGGGTATTTGATTTGCCTTAAATGATTTTGGTGCTTCTTCCCATGTTATTCAGGTTTAATGCTGGGGCTGCCTTATGTAATTACATGTCAGCCAATGCAATAAAAAGGGTGGCAATTAAGATTTTAAGAATAAAAAAATAAAAAAGTTTGACTTTACTTACAGAACTTTCAATTTGACTTTTACCCAAAAAAAAGGAAAAAAAATAAACTTTGAATTTGACTCAAAGGAGTCATGCAATGCATTTGACTCTTCAGAACCCGTATTTAATCTAAACAGTTCATTCGTTTTTTAAACGATAAATTATTGTAAAATTAAAGTTTAATTTAAAAACGCTTATAAATTCTTTTATTATCTTTCAGACTTCCGCTTTTCTTCATTAAAAAAAAAAAAAATGACCCTTAACTCTGACCTTGGGGTTTTTTTTTTTTTCAAAAGAAAACTTTGACCATGGGTTGCTTATTTGTTTTGGTTACAATTATATTCATTCTTTCTAGCATTTTGCCGTGTATTGAGTATTAAAAAATAACATGAATTACATCGTTCAATGAGTGATTTAATGTGTATGGGACAGCCATGCACTCTTACTTTAATTCATTAAACTAAGGCTACATTTTGAATGAACGATAAAATTGATAGCGGTGAGATTAAAAATAAAAATAAAAATTAATGTAATTATAATTAAAAAATATTATAGTTATGATTAAAATAATATTTAATAAAAAATTTATATTAACTTAATCTCATTAAAATTGATATTTAAATTTAATTAATGATATAATAAATTTAATCGTATCATATCAAAAACATCGTGAAATTCAAACGAAAATTAATTCCATATGCAAGAGAATCGACAAAAATGCATTCCTCATAAATATTAGAATAATAAACAGATTAGCATCAAAATTAAAATTTTAAATTATTAAATATATAAAAAGAATCCCTTTATAATTCATGAATTCCCTTCTCGCTTTCCCCAGTCTTCAAATTACATCATTTGAATTATTAGGAGACATAACAATGTCAAATTTAGAAAAATACTTCACATGAAGATTACAACTTTGTCTTTACTCAAAATGTCAAATACATTAAACCTTTTTTATCTTATCCTTTAATAAACCTAATAATATAGCCTACAAATGCACCTAACATGCAATACTCTCCTTTACAGGAAAATGATACTTACATCTTAAGAAAATCTTTCCCCATTTCCATTAATATGACATATTACATATCATAATTGTTGATTATCATCTGAAAGAACCTTATGCTAACGTTTTTAAAATCATGTATAAGAAATTTATAGTAATAGAATACTAACAAAAAAAAAAAAAGGAAAAAAAACAAGTATTCAAAATTTTTTGTCTATAGTATAGTAATTTGAAAATTAAAGTTTCCTATCCTGTGGAAATTTGAGTGGACCATCAAAATTTCAGAAGTAACCGTTGAAAGTGAAAATTTGAATACATGCAAAACAATTTTAATGGAAATTATAGTTTCATTAAAATCCCCTGTTATCACTTGCTCGTTCAAATTGTAAAGCATTGACATGAGAAAGAAAGTCGATAACGCCCTACCCCAAATCAGCCCTCACCATCCCACCAACAAACCAGAACCTTCCCTCTCCCCCCAGCCATACCCTTTATACACATCACCCTCCACTGAAGCAAAATTCAAATCCTTTTTCTCTCACTTCCTCTGTTTCTTACATAAACCAAAAGCCAAGCAAAAGGTCTCTGCTTTTGCTCTGTGTTGTACAATTCCAAAGTCATGGCAACTTCTCTTTGCCTGCTGCTATACCTGTTACTCTTTTCAACGTGGTGGCTTAAGATTTCGATGTCAGAAATGATGCTTCTTCCCTTAACTCATTCACTCTCCAAAACCCAATTCATCACCCCACACCACCTCCTCAAAACCACCTCAGCTCGCTCCGCCGCCCGCTTTCACCACCGCCACAAACAAGTCCCACTCCCTCTTTCCCCTGGCAGTGACTACACTCTTTCCTTCTCTATCGGCTCCCCTGCTTCCTCGACTGTTTCTCTTTACCTAGACACTGGTAGCGACCTTGTTTGGCTTCCTTGTTCTCCATTTGAATGCATTCAATGGGATTCAAAAGCACCACCACGCTCTGCTCCTCTTAACCTCTCATCCTCTGCCACCGCTATCCCATGCCAATCCTCCGCCTGTTCCGCCGCTCACTCCTCCCTCCCTTCCTCCGACCTCTGCGCCATTGCACGTTGTCCCCTCGACTCCATCGAAATCTCGGATTGCAACTCCTTCCCTTGCCCTCCATTTTACTATGCGTACGGTGACGGTAGCTTAATCGCCCGTCTTTATAAGGACTCCTTAACTCTCCCAAACTCTCTCTCGATTCAAAACTTTACTTTTGGTTGCGCCCACACCACATTGGGTGAACCGGTTGGTGTAGCCGGGTTCGGTTTCGGTCGGCTATCTTTACCAGCTCAGCTTTCCTCCGTGTCTCCTCAACTGGGTAACAGATTCTCCTACTGTTTAGTTTCTCATTCGTTTGATTCTGACAAAGTTAGGCAACCAAGCCCACTGATTCTTGGTCGGTACGAGGAAAAAGAAAAGCAGTTTGGTAACGAAAATGTTGAGTTTGTTTACACGGACATGCTTTCCAATCCAAAACATCCGTATTTTTATTCAGTGGGGTTGGAGGGAATCTCTGTCGGGAAAAGGAATATTCAGGCACCGGAGAATTTGATGAGGGTTGATAGAAAAGGAAGTGGAGGGATGGTGGTGGATTCAGGGACAACTTTTACGATGCTACCAGCGAGTTTGTATGACTCAGTGGTGAATGAGTTTGATCACCGAGTTGGACGAGTTTACGAAAGGGCGAGTGCGATAGAAGAGACGACGGGGTTGAGCCCGTGTTATTACTATGACAAGGTAGCCAAAGTGCCAGTGATTAGCTTGCATTTTGTGGGGAATGGATCCAGTGTGATATTGCCCAGGAGGAATTACTTTTATGAGTTTTTGGATGGTGGTGATGGAGTTAAGAATAAGAGGAATGTGGGGTGTTTGATGTTGATGAACGGTGGTGATGAGGAGGAGTTGAGTGGTGGGCCAGGTGCTACTCTGGGAAATTATCAGCAACAAGGCTTTGAGGTGGTTTATGATTTGGAGAAAAGGAAAGTTGGATTTGCAAGGAGAAAGTGTTCTTCTTTGTGGGATACCTTGAAAAATTAAGTTTGAATTTGGGTTAAAGTTAAATTTCTAGGTTTATATTTCATGAAATTATGGATTTTTTTTTCAACTTTTTTAGCACTTAAAATTTTGCTTTATGGACTCTCCCAATCCTGTATATTTAAATGTTAATTCTTCCATGTCAATTCTAAGGTAGATAAATAAAGCAAACATTGAAGTGTAGAGAAAAAAAAATGTAAAAGTTTATGTATATTTGAAGTTGAAAATAAAATTTTATTTCTGTAAATTGTTTGGTGGGATTTACTAATTGTCAAAGCAGGTAGGTCAGTGAATAAGTCCAGAAATAGTTGCTGTACCCTGTGAATTGATCAGACATCACACTGAAAGATGCTGATCGTGCAAAATGTTACGTGAAACCTCAGTTTCCTTATCTCGTTGAAATGAGTTGGTGGGTGAAAAGTTTCAAATCCATTTGGTTAAGATTTTGTGCTTTGGCTGGAAGATCTATGAGTATGAACTGATCGATGATCAAATATCACGATACCCAAAAGAGTTTAAAGATTGGGTAGGGAACGCCATTAATACTTCCATAAAGATTTTTTCCTTCTCATTGGTTGGATTTTTCTCATGGAGGTTGGGATATTTTTTTCCAAGCTGGTCGTCGTCTGTGCTTTAAGTTTGATTGTTAGATGAATCGAGTGGACCAGATATTGATCCTTATCTAGATTGAAGCTTCTCAGCATAATCCAAAATGGATATGTTTGCACTGGTTCAAGAAAAAGGTTGCCTTTGATCACCCCGAGAGACCTCAAGGCCAAGGGATCAAAATCTTTGCAAATAAATATGAGTGATATCGATGAATTTGATTTAATTTTTTTAAATATTATATAATATTATAAAAATTTAAAATTTGATTCGAATTCGAATTTAATTTTTATTCAATTCGAATAGAATCAATTCAAATTTTATTGATTTGAATTTATTTGATTTATAAATTTTTAATTCTTAATTTTTTTAATTTTTATATATTATTTAAGTAAATTTTAATATAAAATTATTATTTTTATTTTATAATTTTTTTTAAATATATAATTCGTTTCGTTTCGATTTTTTTTTATTTTTTACATTTTAATTTTAAATTTGATCTAAATTTAATATAAATATTTAATATTTAAATTTAATCTAAATTGAATAAAAATATTCGATTCAAATCAAATAAAATATTATAATTTCAAATTAATTTTTTAATTTTTTAATTTTTTTTCTCACCCCTCCTTATGAATTAGCAGCTGGTTTTGGTGCACTTTGAATTTGATATTGTTCAACCTAAGCGTTTTTGCACAATGCATATGAATTCTTGTCTAAACTTTTTCCCCTTTCTCATGTTAAGTAACCCATCTTAAATATCGATGTAATGATGAAGACATAATCAAGGGTACAATATAGTGTTGAAAAAAATTGAAGAACGGTTGATTTTGGAGAGAACTACAAAAAGAGAGTACATTTATCATTATAATATAAGCCATTGATTGTATTTTACAATTTATTCCCTCAAACTTTATTTATTTGTCTTGTATTAATTTTTACTAAGTTTTAAAAAAATTAATTTTAATATATTTAATATTAAAATTAATTTTTTATAAAAATTAAAATTTCATAATTTTTAATATTAAAAAATAAAATATTTACAATATTTAAAAAATATATAATTTGGAGATATCTAAAAATATTAAAAAAAGGACAAAAGGGCGCAATAGTTTTGAGAGTCGTTATTACTTGGCAATTGTCATTTCTATTTTTTCAGTAATTTTATCTTATTTTTCTTTACAAGTTGTTGCATGGACTGGGGTTGGTACAATAGGCACCAATTATTTTTTCCCAAACCTTGATTTTTTTTCGTTTGGGTCCATTCTAGCCTTGAATGCTTCTGGACCCCGAGTTGTATAGTTACACTGAACTTTCGGTACCCACAATCTTCCAAAGCTCATCATGGCGAACCGCGTCACCCAAGGAACGAATAAAGTGGCCCTGGCAGCAGTAGAGTTCACTCTTTCCTCTAAGAACTCCCTCCATTGGCGGTACGTCCGAGAATTCGTATTTGTACTGGGTTGATGACATATTAAATACATGAAAATTATTAAAAAATTAGTATATTAAATTATAAAATATTTTTATCACATTATTGTGTCGTTTAAAATAATCAAATTGAAAAGAGGGCAAAGAAAAAAAGTTAGTCATGAAACAAAAAGGTCAGCATTCGGGCACATCCATTGGACTATTCGTTAACCATCGCGTCATATTAACCTGATCTTAAGACCGAATCACAATTATTGCATGGTAATCAGTAGTATTAGTCACAAAACAATGAACACTGGTTCCCAAAAGTCTATCCAACACGATGATTCCTTGGGCTGCAATGAGTGCGCACCCCAAAGTCAGGGGCTGCAGACCACACAGTACTGGGTCAGCTTATTCATGTAAACCAGCTGTCTCCCATTGATCCCTCACTTCCTGACCAAAACAAAAGAACTTCGGCTTCTTCTTCTTGTAAGACCACACCTTAATCTTATTCTTACCAACCAAGCTTCAAGCTAAGCCACACTTTATTCCCTAATCATGTAATTGCTATAATGGAGATTTTCTTAGAATAAATCCTTAATTTAATAAGCCTTGGTTTCCCTTCGCATCCCATTTGTTTGAGTGCACCTAAACTTTTCTCCAAAGTATATATTACTTTTATATATAGTATAATTTAAGAAAAGCCTCAGAAATATAATTTTAATTATCTCAAAACACCAATTTTATTCATAAATCAATGAAAAAAAATTTCAATAATTTTTTAAAATTTTCACATGTTAATTGATTCATTGGCCGTGGTCAAATGATGTCTTTTTCTCAGAAAAAAAAAAAAGTTGATGCCTATTATTAACGTGTTATTATTGGTTTTAAAGCTTGTGTTTCATTGTTTAGTTGTGGATAGCTTTTGAATATGTTTGACTTGCTGAGTCATCATTGTCAATATATGCACACCTGGCAAAAAACAATAACGATGCCGTCGTGATATTTTCTATTGGGACAATGACGTCAATTTGACATGCTTTCGACTTCCGATGAGATAAAAAGTGCCCCTGCGAGAGTGTGGACCGGACACCGCTAGCTGTCGCAATACGTGTGCTTCTAGATGTTTCTCCACGCTTTTCCCTTTTCTGTGGGCGCATTCTTCCACGTGTGGGCCGCCACACTACATTATATTATTTTATGTGAGCAAACATTATGTACAATGACAATGACACGAATGCCGTAAATATACTTTTTTTTTATGGCGAAAATCATTAAATATATTTATTTCCTATAAAATTATCGAAATTTTTTGTTTTATAATTTAAATTTTGAAAAATACTAAGCTGCTAACAACTAATAGATTGGTCGAAATGCTATTTGCAATAAAAAATGAATTAATTTATTATTTCTCATTAAACTTGGTAAAAACATTATACCAAAAATCAGTATTTATAGAAATTAGTTAACAAGAGCTTTTAAATATTAATATTTACAATGTAGAACAATAAATTCAAAATATGCAAATATATTATGGTTTTTTATTTATTTTTTAAATATTAATTACGATGATATTAGATTCTTTAACATAAGTTCTAATTGAGTTTTGAATTAACTCCAAACTATGAAGGGCAAGATTTTAAAATTTCTCCACTTTTGATTAACTTTGCCCATGTCCTAGTGTGTCTTACATTATTTCAGTGCTATCTAAATTTCAAAGTAGTTTGTCTTGGAAGATATAAAAAACAAGGAAAATAGAGATGGGGAAGAAAACCAAGAGGGATGGCAGGAACAGCCCAAATCTTGAATGAAAATATCATGCTTAGCTGTCTCAATTTGTATATGATCGTTGACGTTTAATGATAGTATAGTTTTAGAAAATCAAGATTGGATTATACATTTCAATGCATTTACACTGATCCAAAAAAAAAAAAAAATGCAGACTCGGATATTCCTGCCTTTTGTAATTTTCAATGTGTGACTTGAAGGGAAAGCGATTTGGCTGAGATTTGTATCTCTTTCTGTAAACATAATTTCCCAGGGTTATGCAAAAAAATCAGGAAGCAACCATTGCCATTTTATCCTGACCTATATAGGGGCTGGCAACTGTTGAAATGGTGGGTTGAATCTCTACAAGTGCAATGTGATCGTAGAGAAAACAAAGTGGGTATTTTGGAGAGGGAAGGGGCTCATAGTCATAGGTGCAATTTGCTAATTAACCGACCCAAATTCAATAGAATTGGACCAGACTTAATCCAATATTTGGGCCTAATTTCTCATGCCAACCGGCCTTTAGCTATTTCTTTCACGAATGTCCTTCATCCCAGGCTTTTTGTTTCTGGGTGTTTTCCTGCTTTGACAAGAAACTAAGATACCAAAGAATCAAGAAGTGCAAAAACGTGGAATCGCTTGCTTTTAGGCTGTTAAGATTCCTTGTCAATTAGGCTAATTCACAAATATTATTACAAAAAGTATCACATTCCATTCCTCAGCATTATTTGTTTCGTTAATAACTTTTCTAAGGCCCTCTTTGATATCTTCTGCTCACTCTCACTCTTTTCTCTTCGCTTGGAATATTTGCTTCATGGAACAACATTTTTTTTACTTGAGGTTGCCGGGAGTTGAACTATGCTCCTGGAACATTGTATAATGCCTTTTTTACTTTTAATTTTCCTAATGGTTATATTCTCTTGAAAGATTGGTCATCACTTTTGGCATTGCTTTTAATTTTGAATAAGAAAGAATCTCAACTCTTTTTAGCTCCTGCAGTTTCAGATTTTAGGAACTCAAAGAAAACCTCTTTTTTTCTTTAATTTTTGTTGGCTCAAATCTATCCAAAAACTAATATAACTTCAGATGTGACATTCAGTTTTTTTGTGTTAATACGTTTTAATATGTGGAACATTGATCATTGTTCAATCACATGTTGTAATTGCAGCAGGTGAGAAAATTGATTGTTTAATTTGCTTAAAATACATTGAAAATTTTTTTAAGGTATTTTGTTTTGAGTTGAATCAATTGTCAATCAGAGTGCAACGCATATAT